TTTTGGGTCACTGAGAAAGTATTCGTGAGGGTAAACATATCATTTTACAGTATAATTAGTACTTATTTAAACAAAAAAATTAAACTTTCTTGATTATACAAAGTCTTTTTCGTTAATAATCTAAAACCATGTATAGTATATAAATGTAATTATAAAAACAATAAGTATGAAATGTAAAACAGTTTGTTTTAGTGGACAAAATATTTTAGCATTTAAAATTCGTTAATTATCCCTTGCTTACATAGTGTGATGGTTGTCAGTGTGGAGGGGTTTATTAAAAGTTTACGCTGGATGTTTTGCAAATGCGTGGTTATTGCGCGCGAATTTTGTGTAGAAGGGAATGTTTTGAATGATGTAACGAGCGCTGGGATATATAGAAGCTTCTAATTAAGCAGCGCGAGTAACGGTGCTGGACAACACAATGTCCCAGAGTTTTGCGATTCGCTGCGTTCCAACCTCATTCTAGTGTACACAACACTATAACCGCTTTTATTCTGCACTTTTCATTGTCCTCAGGCATGGTTAAAATGAAGAAACACAATAAATTTCGAAACAAATATATTCAGCCAACGTTGATGTTCTAGTATGTCTGTACATAAACACGAAAGTACATGTGGTGATACGAAAATTAATATTGCGGGTGTACGGAAGTAAAAGTAAATCCGTGAGAACTGATTTTGGAAGGATTGAGTATAAGTATATAAGGTGAAAGCATCACAGTTGGAACACCTGGAAAGACCATAACTGTACCGCACATGATTTATTTTTGATCAAAAATCACGAAAGGGGTTTTTCAAAAGGGAATAATATCGTGAAGCTGTGCTGCACCTAAACGTCTTGAAAAGATCCCAAGGGGGGACAGGTCAGTTTCTAGGACCTGTTTTTACCAAGCGTACTCAATGGACAATGTCCTGCACGTCGTTGTCATACAAAAGACTCGTTCATGGCTAGATCCTCCCACGATACGCATATGGAGCGAAAACGTCCATTCAAAATCCGTGAGAACCAGAATTTATATTTTTCATAAGTAAGAAGTGAGTGGCATTTTCTTCAACTAAATCATTCTCGCCGTCTCACTGACTTATTTTATATCCGCTTGTTCATCTACCCGGGAAATTGTCCCATGCTTATTTCTAAAATGATCTCATTTACTATTCATATAATTATTCAGTGAGGATTAATTATTCCGATAATTTTAGTTCCATTGACTGATTAAGTGGAACCTGTAAGCATATTCATTCGTATGTGGGTGTCATGAGAAGGCCAATTTCAGGAAAGCTCTTTCATTCATTTAACCCTCATTTTATTCTTTTTTTTTTTGAGTAAAATAATTTTTCATTCTTTAATTATAACTTTTTATACAATACAACATTTTTGAAAAATGATTTTTTTCTTTTTTATTATATCATTTCTAATTTGACTATGTAGATTAATTATAATTTTCTAGGTATAAAATAAAATTCATTCATTTACTCTCACATAAAATTTTTTTTTGGACTGAATCATCCATCTGGTTCTAATATAAAAAAAAACTCAGCCAATAAAAAATATATAATTTAAATTGATTTGATTATTTTAAAAAACAATATAAAAAAATTAACATTCGATAAAAATGAATGCTTAAAGTAATAAAAATATTTTAAACAACTTAAGCGATCAGTTAAATGTTAAGTTATTCAAAAATTGGACCAGAAGATCTAACCAAGTGTTAGGAAGCAGAAATAATCCTTCGATAAAAAATCTCCCAGGGTACAGGTATACTTTTTATACGAATTCGCATCCTGATTCGGCCAACGTACTGCAGTTTTTGTCGTCGTTTTTGAGCATGTCTCACGTGGAGCTTGGGAAAAACGGCTGGGCAGCCATCGCATTTCTTTTGTTCATGCACGTTTTCGCGTCATGGTCGAGAAAGAAGAAGGCCTGACAACGCAAACCAAGAGAGGGTAGAGATGAAGTTGAGAAAAGGGGAACCGACGACGACGACGTTTATCGTAGAAAAAAAACCATCACCCCTGACGGAGAAAGGTCCGAGAGGGTTGAGAAGAGACACAGAGAAAGAGAGGAGAGATATCAACAAAAAAGTTGGAGAAAGGAGGTCGGTTTTCCTATATAAAAATTCATTCTCCCCCTATGTTACGAATCAAGAACTCTCTGGCACAAATGTGCGCGCGCGCTAGAAACTAACATATGAGGGTCCTTATTCTATTCTTCTGATATCCTACTTGGGGCCCAGCCCCCTTCCACTAAGTCCTCGCCAGTCAGCTTCCAAGCATGGACCAAACAAGACCCATGCCTTCAATCTAAGCGAATTTTCGGTTACGAAGGGGTCGATAAACATTTAAAAAACACGTCATGTAGTGATCCTTGTTTCTTTTCATTTTCGATTATTTATGTTCATTAATAATCGATTGTGTGTGAAAATTATAGTGCTAACACTGTGATTTATTTAATTGTCTTCATCATGGCGGCTAACAGATCCAGATACACCGGTTGGTATTTACGTCTTAGAATTTTTTACCAACATAAATATTTTACCAACCACATCTTACCATGTTTCAGTGGAAAAATTGATGATTGGTTGCTACCAATCACTAAATCAAATTAAATTATTGGATTTTTCTCTTTTTATTTATTTTTTTTTTTTATGCTTTCTTCAACGAGTAATTTCAATGAAGTATACCTTGATGTACGTGCACATGGCTGTATACTCTCGTCTCGTGAGGGTATCCCAGTCCTTGACTTGCGTTGGATGTATGACTGAAGGGGCAGGGAAACTTGGAGGAAATTGGTGCGACTCAATACTAATGGATAATAGAATTATTGGTTTCGACCGGGACGAGCCCCGGGGATGATCGTAATTCGATTGCTCAATGTGTCCTCTGGACGTTTTGACAGGACGAACGTCCTAACAAGCTCGATGCCTCAGGACATTTTCAAGATACCAGATCTTCTCTCACTTGAGCTTTTATTACCTCACATATATTCTATCTGTTATTTCGTATAACATTTTTTAACATTTTTAGATCCAAAGTCCAATAACTCTACTACTTTAATCATCTCTATTTTTTGATAAAATATTTCATTCACTAAAAGCTCAAATTCGAGAAAAAAATCCATCAATTATTGTATTTTCAATCAAATAAAAAATTGAAATATAGTTAATTGATGGTTGGAATAAAATTTTTTAAGCAGATCAACCATTTCTCAATAGTATGGCAAAGTATCCATGAAATTACAGAAATATAACATATCGATAGAAAATGATTGAAGTATATTACGAATGTATGGGCCAATTTGTAAGCAATCCAACTTATATTCGCTTGGCAATATTGTATATTATGTTGGGTTGTTCAAGACCAGAAGGCACATATTGGCGTTCGTTTTGTCCCCGTCGCTTCACTACTTTTTTGCTCTTGCTTCTCTATCTCAACAATAACGTTCCCTCTTGTCCATAACTATTTATACTCAGGATATGATTTCCCGTCGCTTCGGTAGCAAAGTACAGCCTCCATCTTCCGGCTGATTTTTATCTCCACTCCTTTCTCATCGAAGACATTAATCCTTGATATATCTTCATAGCATAAAATGTCTTCATTCACTACCAGTTCTCTGTTATTCTCTTCTTTCGCTACTTTTCCCACCTATTGTGAATTTTACGATTTTTCTTACATTTATTTGTCATCAATAATAATTATCGTCCATCATACCTTTAGGTTCATGATATATACCTGCAGGTATAAACGCGGATGTCTCTTCATTTGGAATTCGTATCGTCGCTACTGTGAAGAGAGGGTTAAAACCACTCGCTCGCGTGTGTCGTTCTTCTTAGCTCTTACCCTGTATTACGAAACTGTGTGTGTGTGTGTGTGTGTGTCTGAGGCCAACATCTGCCCCCGAAAAAACAAAAGCCTTTTGTCGTTAACGACCGGTCGCGCGTCTCTCATTTCTAACCGAGCGCTTTTGAATCGTAGGCGAGTATAACGGACCACAAGACTTTACTATTGAGTCCATCATCATCATCATCACATATTCTTTCTCTTATTTTCACATCCTTATTCTCTTCGACGAAGTTCTTTTTTTAGGAAGAAAATAAATGCACTATTTAAATCAGAAGATCCACATTCTGGTTTGTCGTTGTGGAGGTGTATGACAAGTTTGACATGTGGGGAAAAAAATTAAATGCAAAAGGTCCAAAAAGGAGTGGCTTCAAGTCCAACTTGCGCAATGGACTTTAAAGTCAATGATAAAGGCTCCGCCCAAAACAATCTGTCGACACTTGTCTATAAAAATATATTCAAAATTATGTAAAGAGGATAATGAATAATTAAGCATAACAAGATTTTCATGCTGAACTTTTTTATTTAAACTCAATAATAATTCACTCAAACTTTTATTAGTGAGAGATATAGTCTATCTTCATAACTTTTTATACAATTGTTGTTTAACAGATTTGTTTATTCAAATTATTTCTCACCATTCAGAAATAATTAAATTCACTTTGTAAATAAAAAGAATGATATTAGATATTTTATGAAAATATATGTAAAACAAAATATTCATTACATTTACATGCATACAAATATTCTTTTTCTGTATGATATTTTTCTATTCTGCCAACTTGTTCACATGAGAATGCTTGTGATGTGGGATGGAGATCGATATATGAACTTCTGCCAATCTCTATGTTAATACGTTTCTTCCCCATATATGTTGAGGATATAACGGACCACCAGGCTATACTACAACGCGCCTAGAGGGCCCCTAAAAGTGAATTGTTACGTCTGCGGGTGACCTCGGGACCTCTCTGCGGCCAAAGAGCTTCATAGTGAATTATATACATTCAGCTGAGAATCACAGCCGCTATGAGATAGCTCTTGGCTCAATTTTTATTACCCCTATTCTGACTTTTATTGCGCTAAATTAATTCTCTACTTTTCACTAAGAAATTAATTTACTTATTTATTTAATTGATAAATTCTATTAAAATGTCTTTTTTTCAGCGGAGCCATCGCAAGGAACAATAGCTCCAGACACTGTCCAGTGTGGTGGCTGTCGTGCATCTTACCCTCTCGGCGAAATAGTTCGCTTTATCGAGCATAAAGTCAACCACTGTCGGAGTAGTCTACAAGGGTGTCATAGTCCTCCTCCGATAACAGCTCACGAGGATTCAGACCCTGAAGATGCTCTCACGCTCAAGTCTACCGATCAAGAAAAACTCAATTCAGTTCCAAGCATATCTGCGCCGATAAACAAACGAGTTGGAAGGGTGGAAAGTCCACCCACGCCGCAAGGAAGTGCACCAGATACTGGAAGTCCGATTGAACTCAGAGCGAGTGCCAGTTCAACTCCTAAGAGACGTACTGAAGGTACTGAGGAAGACAAAGAAGAACCTAAGAAACCTAAGACCGAATCGGTCGATGCTGATACCAACACTGTCAATTCCGGTAAATAATTATCCCTTTTTCTTTCTTTTTACCTAAATGTGTGTTTTAAGTAAATGTATCAGTAAATGCCGAAACCTTTTTTTTTATATTCATTTTATTTAATGAAACATTTATTATTCAATTCGATAAATATTTGAAATTGAAAGATTATTTTCATTTATTAAAAAAAGAAAAAAAAAATCAGAATTAAAAATTGCAACTGTCAAAATAATTCTTGTTAAAATGATTTGTAAACTGGTACATTTACTTCAAACATAATATTGTTTATTATCGCAATAAAATAAATGATAAAGATATTATCAATAAGAGTATACATAACGGAGATTTACATCGACAAATTTGATAGTAAGAGATTACTTTTTACAACGAGAACATGCACGACACGTGTTCTTCATCAATAGAATCGCAACAGGGTAGTCTATATCCAATGGGAGAAACGAAAAAAAAAAATCGTGGAAAGTAATACAACAGCTTTCTGCTCACATGATCGCTTGATATGTGGTCCGATGGTCACGAACAATAGTACCGCAGATTCGATTTTTTGAATTTAAAGCGCTCAGGCCCAGGGGGGTGACACACTGGCCAGCAACAATCGCCCTTCATGTTCACGGGGGTTACATATTGTCATGTTGTCCAGGAACATGTGCGGGTGTCGAAAGAAATTTTTATGCCAATCTGTTGAATTGTTTTTACCAAAAATCACCAAAATTCCTCGTTGACATAAGATCTAGATAATCCCAATGCTGATATATGATTGAAATCAAGTGTTTTTTTATTGTAAGTTTAGCAAAAGTTTTTAAAAAATTTCATGACGATCAGCTTACTAAGTCTAACGACTTGTCACTCCTCCACCCCTTTTGCGACTCCCCTTCATCTCTTTTCTAGATTGAACAAGAGGATCCGGATTTAACCCTTTAACGATGAGACAGTCTGCTGGCGTGTTTCTGTCTTGTTCAACTCGTCCAAGCACAACTGACACCCTATTCTAATTCCTCGGACGTTTTTGTCCACTTTTTTTATGACCACGAATCGCCATCCAGATTCATCAGCCCAATTAGAGTCTTCCTATTGTTAGGACACGTGGTGTGCACGAGCCAGATTCTCTCGTAGTCTATCTTTATCTCTATAAAATGGTTAAACTATCAAACTCATCGTCACATAAAAACACCAATGAATACTTCGAAAATCAATGATTTGCTAAATATTTTTTAAACTTCATATTTAAATGGAAATTAATTTTTTATCAGTTTCGTCATACATTAGCATATAAATCTACAGATCCTTTTTTTCTAAATTATCTATCATTTATATCTTTATCTTCATTCATCTTTGATTGAATAAATTAATTTTTTTAATCTACCGAACAAAAGTTAATGTGTGAAATATTAAAATTTTTTAAAAGGTCAAATGATCGATTTTTAAGAATTAGAATCTTGATGATAAACGTTTGAAGCAAGCCCACGTTTAGATTTTTAATAAAATATTAGAATATACAAATAGTGTTTTGATAGATAAAAAGAAATATTTCCCTTAGATCAAATATGATTCCTATGTCAAATTTGCAACACTGTCAACCTTTAAGAAATACAGATTTGATATGTCTGTCACTTTTGTCTAGCTAGAATATTAATTCACGCCATTCAATATGACGTGAGTTGTGCGCAAGGGAAACGGCCAAGCGGTTTTCTCCCTATGTGTGCTTTTCCGCCTCTTTATCGTCACCCAAACCCTCAACCAAGATGTCCGGACTCCCTGGTAGCTGGAGGCGCTACTGAGAATTGCTCGCGAATTGCCTGTATCTCCGGACTTGTTCGTAGTTTATTTCTTTCTATCCTTCTTATATTATTTTTTTGCTCGTTTTTCTCAGCATGCCCTTGGCTTCCTCACACTCCACAACAAGATTTACACTAGACCAAATAAAAATAACACAAACAACATGAATTTTCTAACAAAAAATCAACTTACTCATTTATTTTTATTCTTTATTAGAAAGTGAATGTTGAATAGTTACATTACAAGTAAAAATACTGATTTTTTATGGTTAATTTTTTATTGTTCTACGACTTACCATTATGGAAAATATAATAGCTTTGGTTGGTTTAGTTCTCGTGGATTTTGCGGTTGACGAGAGAGAACATTATTCTTTCGATCCTTTTTACATGGTGGTGACGACTGTGACAAAAGAAGTGGTCACTTGGCAACATGAATCACATAATATGTTGGTGTTCAAATAAAAGTTATTCAATTCTTCAAAAGTAATAACGCACTCACCGCGTTAAATGAGAAAACGAATTCATTTTTTAATTATAAAAAAAATCTTTAACCGAAGTTATGTAGTGCAATTTCATGAGCAAATTAATCAAGAAATTACGGAAAAAAATTGCAAGTTATTCCATTGAGATACAGATGATGTATATCCCTATATCATATGTGCACCCTTGTATTGTGCATGGACAAAGTGCATACGTCGCATACGTTAGTCAATCGATATTTTAATATTGTTGACGAACGTTTGACATCAAATTACCTTTTGTCCATACGTGAAAATCGCCTGAAGCCAAGATTATTGCTGCTCTCTGCTTCTACTATCAGTTACATGTTTGAGTATACTTTTAAAATCGATTTTAAATCGGTATTTATGATTGCATGAGAAAGAAAATAGGTAAAGTAAAAATACTACAAGTTTTAAAAGTTTAGAAAAAGAAGCTTTTTGCAAGATGATTTTATATAGTTAAACAATGCCATTCCAAACGATTAACTCGTAAACGTCTCTCGAGCCAATTTGTCGAGCAATTTGGAGGGAAAATCACCCGGTCACCGCGGTAAAACTTTCATGATGCTATGAATAAAAAGTCCTTGAGTTTCGATTACTGTATCTCCTTCTTTTTCTCTCTACTTTTTTTCCATTCGTATTCAACATCATTTTATTATATTTCTATGTTTATAAACAACTATAAAAAATATTCACCAGCAAAATTAAATTACTTTATTCTTCTATAAAAAAAAAAACAAATCCTTAATATATTTATTTATTTACTTTTCCATTTTTCTTGTAGATAAAAAATTTTAAATTCATTGCTGGCCGCACTCTCTGATGCGTAGAATAATAAAGTAGTTAAGGGTTGGCAAAAGAAAAGAAAAGTGACGGAGAGAGAAATAATCCTGAAGGATGGCCACCCACAAAGTTTGCATATGAAAGCCTGCGAATCGATACACCTTTATAGTACTCGGATACTTGCTTATCTTCTTGACTCCGGTACTCTTTCGACAGTATTTCTTTTTTTTTCTCGAGGGAACATTTTTCAAATGGAATATGGCATTTTTTGACTTTCCCATTGAATTAAAAATATAACAAACCAACTATAAAGCAAACGGAGAATGTGATAACTTCTAGAGGAAAACAATAGACTCTATCACTCTTCTTCTGATTTGCCAAATCAATTCGATTTATATATTCCCCCTTACCGAACCACTCGAGAAATTACAATCAATCGGGATAGACTACTTTAAGACGGTCGTTTCGAGTCTCCCTGAAGCACAAAGATTATCCGATACGTCTGAAGAAATCCAAAAGAAGAGAGGAACGTTCCAATTAGGATCTCTTTATCTCGTCACCACCCTACCTCTCTTTCTCTTTTTATTCTTTATATCGGCTTCTTCTTTACCTTTATCCTTTTCTTCAACAACGAAACATTTGGATACTCCAGAAAAAAGCTTGATTCATAGTCAAAGACTTCTCTTTTTATCTTACCAACGTCTCTATAACTTAAATTAATTCATGGAAAGTTGAGATTAATAGATAAAAGAATAACAAATATTCAAAAAAAGACTGAAAGTATTATTTGTTAACTTTTATTGTCAAATAAAAAGAAGTAAGTAAATAAAAAAAAATTTTTAATTCTTGAAATATTTGAAATAGGATATATAGTAAACAATAATGTGGTCAGACAGCTGTTCAGTTAAATAATAATGCTTGGATGAAATGTAAAAATTAAAATCACTATTCAATGATAATTTTAATATAAGCCTTGGGGGTTTATCACATATTGGGTCCATTTCGCACTATCCGAGGGGTGATTGCTTGATGACACTCGCCTCAATGCCCTACGAAATAGTTATGGATTTTTAGGGGCGTGAAAAATGGCTGAAAATCTGATATTCTCGGATTAAAAACATTGAAATTCAAAACCCGTCTCATCGTGACTGTCTTTCGATGGTGAAAAACCCCTGATCTTAGCCGCAGTGCGGAACGAAACGTCGTTAAGGGTCAGTTTCACAACCCCCGACAATTTTCTATTCTTATCTCAGCATCGTTGATATTATTTTTAAGTTCGCCCTCATCTCAAATTTTTTCTTTTGCTCATATATAACACGATGCACATGTGAAGACGCAATTTGATACAGACGCGCGTTTTCTCTTAACTTAGGAATTCAATCGGCGAACAACAATTTTCACAAGAAAATTACTGGGGAAGTTATTGGTGACTCGAAATGATATTTTATGATATATTTTAGATAAATGGATTGTCACAAGAATAATAAAACTTTTGTTTCATTCTTTTGTTACAGAGCCAAGATGTCTTCAGTGTTCTCAATGCTCACGGCGTTTGAATTCAGCTTGGGAATTGATTCAACATGCACAAAGTGTACATGGAGCACGACTTTATGGAGCATCAAGTTCATCAGCAAATTCATCATCAAATACACCAGCTCCAAGTCCACCAACGCCAACACCTAGTCACTCTCATCACTTGAGTCCACCGAACCATTTAAATCTAAGTGGAAAATCATCAAGCTCATCAGCAGCCAATTCTTCTGGTGGGACCAGTTCTAGTGGTAGCAGTAGTCGTCAACTACAATCATCAGCATCATTGGTTGCAGATCCACTCCATAGCTTTTTAAGGCTTCCTCAACACTTAGAAAGAAGTTTTCCTCCAATGTTTAGGCCAGAATTTTTAGCATTAAACCCTTTAGCTGGTTATCGGGGACTCCAAGACCTTCAAACAGCTACAAGAAATCTTCAAAACCTCGGAGATCCGTTGCGAGCAATGGATGGTCTAAATCTAGGTGACTCGTTGGTTAGAAGTTCACTCGACACATTAAACAATGCAAGAAACCTTGCCAATCTGACTGAATTATCACATGGTCGATTAACTGGTCAAGGACATGCACCTCAACTTGAAGCGAACCTGGATTTTTATTCGGCGCGTCTAAGGAGCCTCGCTAACCCGTCCTTAGGCGCGGCTCCAACAAATCCCCCCTCCAATCCAACGCCAATTGTCTCTGGTATACAACAACAACAAACTCAACAGCATTCAGTCGATGTTGTCACAAGTCCAGCATCAACGAATCCAACAAATCTTACTGCTCACAGTCTAACCCAGAAGGAAAACTCTCCACCTTGCTACAACCAGAGTCCAGTTGGTCACAACAATAATAATTCAACGGACAGTGAAAAGGCTAGTCCACCAGTTGCGTCCACTCCAATTATCGCAGATACTTCCGAGACTGTTTATACTTGTGAAGTCTGCGATAAAAAATTTAGGTTCCAATCTAACCTTATTGTTCATCGCAGGTGTCATCAGGATAAGGAAAGACAGTTTCAAGAGTCGACTCAGGATGGTTCCGGCATCGCCAGGTGTGAAGTCTGTGAAGTCGAGCTTGCGAATTATTCTGAGCTTCGGAAGCATATGAGGAAAGAACATCAGGAGTCAATGAATCCAGCAAGTCCTCAAGGAAGTGTTGAAACAGTTCCTGATGATGGCTCTAGTTGTGATGAGAACATGGATCTTGATGAGGCAGAAGAAAATGAACAGAAAGTTCGTGCAGATGTTGAGGAAAATACTCCGGAAGATTTAAGTTGTACAACACAGGGGCAAAGCAGCGAAGAGAGTAGTGGAAGAGTAGAACAAAAACCTAGCTTAGTTGGTGACCTCATGGAGAAGTTTGGCCTCAACAATATTGCACAGTATTCAGAAGCTTACAGACAAGCGCTTCAGGAGAATCATCGAGGTGGTTTTCTGAAAACCGAATCTCCCTCGAACCTTACTAACTCACTGAACAACAACAAAGAGAAAGACAGTGCCCTCTCACCAACAAACTTCAATTCTTCAGCAACCGCAAATATTTTCTCTGGTCAGGGTTTTCCACGAGCTGGGCCGGATTTTGGCGGACTATGGCTGCCCAGTCCGCACTACCTCGAAAATAGTGAATTCCGCAAAGTTTCTAAAGCAGCAACATCAAGTTTATCTCTCCAAGGTCTACCAAGTCCTCTCTTAAAAAAGGAACGAAACGGTAGGAATGACACATGTGAATTCTGTGGTAAAGTATTCAAAAACTGCTCAAACTTAACAGTCCACAGGAGATCACACACAGGCGAAAAGCCATATAAATGTGAATTATGTTCCTACGCATGTGCACAGAGTTCCAAGCTCACGAGGCATATGAAAACACATGGAAGACATGGAAAAGATACTTACAAGTGTCGCTTTTGCGAAATGCCATTTTCTGTGCCCAGTACCTTAGAGAAGCACATGAGAAAGTGTGTTGTTGTTGTTCAACAAGGACCTAAATTAGGTCTCCCTTATCCTGGCAGTCAAGATGAAGATTCTTCGCTTAGTACTAAGGACACTTGATCCTGGAATGGCAGCTTGCCGCCGCCTATACCGCCACTGTGGCCGCATCGGCCTCCCTATACAGTTTACTGAAAAAATTTTAAGGATCTGTTATCAGAGGACTTACTAATCCTTTTCAGATCCTTTGTCAGTATGATGCGATAGTCGGGGTGATACCTGAAGCGCTATCCTTCATCTGTGAATAATCAATACCACATTAGGGCGATCAATACGTCCATATGAGCTCCGAGGATTGCAATGATACTTTCCTCATTGATTCTGGAGAAGCCAACGTGCAAATATGCCTCAGGCTCTTCTTTCCAGTATCGGATGAACATAAAAAAAAGAACCAAGTCAAATAAAATAATGAAATGACTACTCAAACGAATAATCAACGAGAACTGATGGTTACCACTGGTAAAGTTTTAGCCAGCTTTTAAAGAATTATATTAATTAATAATATAAATAATTATAAATATCTGAAAAACGAAGCGTATACATGTGAATATAAATATGAATATAAATGAAATAAATAAATCTATATAAATATATAAATACAGATATAAATTATATATACACAAAGACGTAAAAAAAACACGAAATAGCAAACTTTATTATCGCATTAAAGATTATTTATTTAATAATATATAAATATATATTGTATAACGGTAATATATTGTAACGAAGTGTGAGCGAATTAGTTAATGAGAGGAAAACGTTTTTTTCTTGTATAATAAATTCAAAACCGCATCCTGTTTAAAAAAAATAATTCTGCGGAATATGTAAAATGTATTATATTATTCTTATTAAGACAACAATAATTATCATGATACATTATTGATAGTATATTTAACTTATCAGCTTTTATTACGTTGCTTCCAAATGTCAGTGTGTCTTGATAACAATGGTCACGAGGCGCAACGCTACATTTATTTTATTTTCATATATATTTGATTATTAATTAATTCTTTAATTAGTTATTAATATTATTATACGATTCGAGAGATAAAGAAAATCGTTTTGTCTGAGAAGTTAGGAAGATGCCAAAGTTGTCTAGGTTTATTATCCGATCTTTAAATGATCGTCGAAGTGATCACGAGGTTTAAAAAAAGTAAGATCTTACTATGTATTTTTGAGCAATAATCAATTATATCAAAATTGATATCAGAATAATGACGATTAATTAATTGTAATTAATAATTTCCTCGAGTTCACTCCGTACTTGAAAAAAAATGAACGTTATTATTGGTACTATTATTATTCTTATGATTATTATGTTATTATTATGTTATTATTACTATTATTATTGCTATTATAATTATTACTATTGCTATTATTACCTTGATTATTTATTATTGTACTAAGTTCGTTGATAGTATTGCTGTCGTGCAGCAACAGCGTGCGATTCGCCTCGATTTTCGTAGTATTGATATGGAGCAAAATTAAAAAAAAAATTGCATCGATTCCTCGAAAACCGATATTAAACGCGTTTTACCCCCATCGTGTGTTTGTTTAAAAATTAATTTAAAAAATGTAAAAATGATTTAAAACACATTATAACTGCACGCAAGAGCAGCCGACGCAACTCTGTTTTTTATTTTCTCGCCGAAGACTGAGGTACATTGAGATAGCTGATTTTTTGCGTTGATATAATATTATTGCGAATGGGGGAGATATTTTTTTGTCGTTGTAGACGTTTTCAAAGAAAACTGTTCCTAAAAAATTTAGGCAATAAGGTGATTATTAAAATGAAATAAAAAATAAAACCCAGTGTAAGTGTGATTTAGAAATGAAATGACTGAATGATGATTTGAGTGTATGTTATTATAAATGACTGCTGAAATGTAATAAGAAAGAAAAAAAAATCACTCATATCACATAGTTTTTTCGATGTTAGACGTGTATGGTTCTAGATTTAAAGAAAAATAATACAAAAAGATACAACTGAATTCACTTAAATAAAATACACTATTCACACAATCTCGTTATCTAGTTGAGAGAATGAGAATTTATTAGATAAAATTCTGTAATACATACAAACCAGACCCTGTTTATAAAACCTGATAATGTATTGTAAATAATAGTACTGCCCCTAGAACACTTGTAATGTCTGATATGAAGGAGCGACATTAACAATTAGTCATATACTTACATATTTGAGCTTAATAAAACAGGAAAACAAAAAATAGTCCTGCACACATAAGTCGCTCTATGTTAATATTATTTCATTTTTCCATAATTTTTGAATAAACAATAAGAAAGAGATCACTATGGCTGGCAGTTTTAGCGTGTGTACTCGGAAAATAAACGTATGAAATAATCTATTGAATTCAAATTTTATTTTTATTTATTTCTTCAAAAATACACTTTACTCATTTATCTCTATGCACTAGAAATGAACAATGTTTTTTCATTATTACTTATAAAACTATTTATGAAACCAACAGAATCCTTCCTTCTTACCTTATTGTACCTTTAAATATATTACAAATATTTACAACGTCAGTGAAGCAGTATAGAACGAGATTATTTAACTGTCCAGTTACTTAGAAAAAATATCTATAAATTTTTTTTATCATTTTTTTACTTCAAAATATACTTTTTGAAACTCAGTTTATTTTTCAAAATGTGTAATTAATAATTTTTCTCGTTCTATCGTCTCCTGCGTATATTTATACAGGGTATCAGAATGAATCCAATGATAATTACTCCGAAAAATAAAATTAAAATAAGCATAGTAAAGAACCATGAAAAATAATTGAATTAAATAATAAATATAAAAAATAAGAATAAAAAAGAATGAAGAAATAAGGGGCAAATATTATTACTGAACAAATCGATGAAATAAAAGAATAGAAAAAAAAAATAAATCAATTATTGTAGACATAAAAATGATGGTATGATTGGACAGTAATAAAAAAAAATACTCACTTCAGGGTATTATATCTTGAGCTAGGTTTTTAGTAGAATTTTTAAACCTAGACTTTACTCTATTTGGTCAATAAAGAAAATACCTACGCACTATCAGTTCATTATTAACATCAACCCGATGCATTTAAGTATGACGTTGTTTTTGAGTCGAGTCCGAACAATTGGAAATTGAATTTAAACTTCCATCAGTCGTTTGGACTTTACTCGATCGACTTACAATTATATAGCAGATACGGTGTATGTCTTGTGCGACTCAAATAAACTAAACTGTTTTTAAAAAAATTAACTTGAAATACTTTTACCTTCATTCTGTCTTTAAACTCCTATTAATTAATTCCAAGTGTTATTACCATATTTAAATTTGAATAGTCCACAACTCGAATGACTAATGCTCCCTCTAGTAGAGAATTGTCCAAGTTTTACCGATTTGTACCCCTGCGTCGATCAAAGGGAACCCGAGGACGACTAAGGGGTACGTTTATTTACCCTCGTACCCCCGTATATTTTGGTCACCCCTGTTTATGTTCCACATTCCTCAAGAGATCCAACACAATATGCTAGAAATTAAAACTCAGTGACGTATATACTTTTATCCCTCAAAGTTGAATCAACCCTTAAAAGAATTTATCGCCTACAGGCAATCTCATTTTTAATTACCCCGTGTATTCATATCACTCGTTAATATTACATCGTAGAAAAAAACAGGATAAAAAAAATAATGAAGAAAAATATAAAAGCGTTAATTACAAAAAATCTATGTGTTCTTTAATACATTTTTTTCTATTGAAAATTTATGCTAATGAAATACGTATGTTTGGAACATTGATAAAAGCATCAACACTTAAATCACGTTTGTCTTTTGTTAATCTTTTCTATCATTAGTTTCGTATTTTTTTAATTATCCGTATTTTCTTTAACTCAATGAGAAATAGGATGAATTATCAGGAGAAGAAAATTATGATGATATTCACTATTCATGTAAATAATTTTTTTTAGAACAAAGAAAAATAATGATAAATAAAAGAATAAGTTGAAAAATCACTGAGTCACTTGTAATTATTTTTGTAATTTTTTGGGATAAATAAAAACTATATTTTGTTGATAGGTTTATTGATTTTTTTTTATTTGGCAATATCTTTTGAAAAAATTATAAAAAAGTATTTTAGAGTTTTACATAATGTGTAGGCACTTAAGTTGGTGTATGTAAAGTGAGAAAGATATGCAATAATTAATCTATACTGTGCTTGACTCGTAGAACTGAAGTCAAAGTTATAACAATGCCGTTAATTTTTGGCCAACGCTATTGTTCTATCCGCACATTCATCCGTCAAGGAGCTTCCGACATACTTCTGGTGCAGATAGATTGTAGAATTAGTTAAACGGGGAATTCATTGACAAAACAACTTCGAGTTAAATGCTACCCCTTTTCTCAATCAATTACTTCGGATAATCCGCTACATTCAACAATGCTAATTGTTACAATAAAAAAATACCTATAGAGAAAAAAATATATTTATCGAATGTTTATTATAATTATCGTTAATTATGATAACGACTATTTGATTAAAGTTATTTGTTGGTTGTCTATGTGCGGCACCAGTTGTGCATTACCCTTCTGGTCTGAATGCGTGTTAGCTGTGGTGACGTCATGACAATGGTGAACACTAATCTGCACGTCAGAAACAGAGATAAAGCTTAAACCAACTCTCTGTGGCCCTGATCTGTCGACTTTCCGGACAAAATATGTCAAACAGTATTTGTTCCAGCATTCAGCTCTAACATCATCATCGTCGAGCCATATATTGCTTGCTTTAACTCCATAATTAATGCTAGTTTTTACAAACCACAAACTTGTCTTCTACATCCTGCAATTGGTAGATTAGGTTCAAAAATATTCATTATTGCTTGCAAATTTATTTTTTAGTCATTATTATTATTAATTTTTTTTTCTCAACATTAATCGTATATTTCTTTTCTAATTTCTCATCATTTTAAAATAAAAATTAGCGCTTTAATTTTTTCCAATTCATTATTTAATCGTTATCAATATTGAATTTATTTACATTAAAATTCAATGATATCTAATGAATTGATGAAAAAAAAATCAATGGAACACAGATCAAAAAATAATTACATGCCCATTTATTTTTTAAATATTCTTACTGACACAAATTACACAACTCGAGAATCATAGTTTTCATTTGGACTTCTTTTATGAAATAATCCAATGAAATTTCGATATCAATATCTAAGATACCAATTTTTGGAATTTTTTTTATTAATTCAGAGCAAATGAGCACAAAGTTTAATTCGAACTGTAAATGGAGAGGATAAGAATGGCTGGAATGTGCCAAGTTTGTTAGAACAGAGAGAATTAGTCGGCTGTTAAGCCAGATAAGCGACCGACATAAATGAGAACAATTGGCAAAAGCTCTTGTTTTCAAGCATTAAATATTTGTGTTTAATTATTTGAGTAAATCTAATACACTATAATTATGTTTTTATGCATTTACATGGTATTATTATAATTTTCGTCATCATTATAACTATTATTTTTTAATATTAATCCATATTACTAATTGTTAATCTTGTAATAGATACTGACCAACTGATATTCAAGTTCCAGGAGCGCATATACACCCCTGAAGGGTCAGCATTCGTCACGTATAAGGGTGGGTTAGACCAATCAGAGGCGTAGGATGTCCACCCTAACTTACTGACCAATCCAAGCTCGAGATATCATACTTTCTCATTCGCACAATATCCAGCATCCTCCGTACATCTTCATGTAAGTGTAAACCAGATCATTTTGTACGTGCGGACTAATTTAGATAATTAACATTAATTATTGATGATAAGTTATAGCTAAGATTACTAATCGCATTAATTGTGTTAAGTGCTTTGAAAGGATATTTGAAAAAAAACGTTTTTTTAATATTCACTTAATTTTAATCATACAGTGCGAATAAAAAAAAACTATCTCATGCATCAGTGAAATAGTAATCTCTTTTTGACTCTCTGAATGCAAATTTCACGATAAATATAAATATTTTCATAATTTATTATCCTTGGAATTAAATTATTAATCCGCCCGCGGTATGGATACACGTGATGCAAATAATTCTAATGCTGGCCTTCTGCTGCATTATTATAACGTGTATTTTATAAAATAAGAAGAAATCACCTTGAAATTTCAAAAGAAAAATCTAATAAATTATACAATTTATCTCGATGTGCCGATGACAGGTGTTTCGTAGTTATTGCATAATTAAAATGACCCACTTATGTATTAAGTAATTATTTAATTAATA